CATACGCATACTTTGGACCCTTTGGGCCAGGGCGATTCGAAGGTGGTCTAATACCTCCACGACAAGCGAAAATGCTGTCACTCTTTCCGCCCTACGTGTTATAGTTTCGAGTATCAATCTCACCCCAAGCCCCAAGCCATGTTGCAGTTAAAACCCTTGATTCAACTTCAACATGCAGCCTGTTTCACCCCGCCACGGTGGAACATAGTGATTTGTTGGTGACTGCAAAGGCATGCTTGAAGTCGCGATTGAACCGGCCTTTTGCACATAAGATATTGACTCTCAGTTCTCGACAGCACGGGACTTTGCATGATGAACTTACCTTTTGTTTACCAATGTCTCACCTCTTTCCACCAGCCATGTATCGCAGCAATTGCACTAGTGCTTCCATGAAGCTTGCCTTCATGTAGTTGATTCGCCAGGTCGGCATCATGCGATTGTTGTTTTTTGCTCTTGAGTCAAGTCAAAGGAACCCGTGGCCACTCCCTCATGAAAGGAACGGTGTTTGTAAGACGACTTTTGCCAGGGCTTCCTCAGGGTCGTTTCCGATCCACAGGGGGGTTGGGCTGGAGCAGGCCCGTGAAGCTCCACCGAATAAGCTGAATAAGCCTCGCCACAGTGACCTGGTAACATCACGGGATGCCTGCGAACCGCGACAGCATGAGGAGAGGGCCACGCTGAGAATCCTCGCTATGTCCCAATCACCGCTGACTGCGCAAGAATCAGTGCAAGTAGGCCGACCTTCTAAGCCTCCGAACATCGAGCTGTAAGCACACTCTGTGTGTGTTGCGTGACATTGCATATATGCCTACAAAGAATAGCACGACCAATGACGAATTGCAATGTGCACGGCTTCTTCCTTTGGCTGAATTCTCACGTTTCTGTAGTCTTCGAGCCCGATTTCATGTCTCTTCCTTAGATCATGCTGATTATACCGATTGTACCATCCGTCGCGGCCCCATGCGTTCGTCGTCAACCCAAATAAGGACTGTCAGCCTCAAGCAGAAAGACGTTGTCGAAAATCCGAAAGGCAAGCCCAAAGCAGAACTGGAAAAACCCTTGTTCCGTGTCGCTGCTCTCCGGTTCATGGAACTCCTCACGTGGTTGGGCTGTAACCCAGAAGATAGCAATTGTTGCTCTTTACTATGACTCTTGCTCGTAATTGCACTTGTGTGGAGTTTATGCGTCGGGCTGTAGGATGCAGTGCCATCAATTCATGAAGTAGGCACCCTCACGACCTGAAACTGTAAAACTTTCAAGTACAGGCCACAATAGCGCTGGCGGAGACTATCGCAGACATCGCTGATGGCAGGATGGCGCCTACGAGCCTTGTCCAATGAATGCCCCCACACTGCTCAAGAGCATATGTGGACTTCAAAGACTAAGGGTCCCGCTTCGTGCTTACAATGAGGCTCTTGTGATTTACGGTCAAGATCTATATTGTGAGCTCCCTACTCATACTTCTGTTCATGGATCTTTTCGAGGTTTTACGCTCAGGGTTAAGGGGCTCTGCTGCTTCTGATGGATGAAATCTTGAGCTTGGGCTTGAAGGGCGAAGAGGGATTAAAGGCACTAAGTCCCTCGGGGCGTTGTCTTTTCTACATCTTCAGTCTCATAGCGTTGGATACTTCAGGACACTGGCTTGCTATTGGAACAAATAATCGCGTTTGGAGGACATGGATGAGTTTCCGAGAAGAGGCGTCAACACTTGCGGGTGTATGGCTCTGGTGGCAATTACAGCTAGGACTGATTACCTAAAGCAAGTCTCAACAGGAATCCGCAACCATGGAATAGTTCAGCCAAACACCCAGACAGCCCACGCACAGCTGGTGCGGTGAAGCTTAGGCTTACAGATGTCACACCCGCGACCCATTACTTAGCCTTTGGTGTCTGACCTGGGGTTTCGGGTTTCGAGGACCTGGCACCTATTCTGCCTCATTGCTTCAGTCTTAACAGTGACCACAAGCGAGATTAAAAACGTGAGGGTATAGAGTCCCTATAAATTACAGAAAACCTTGGCTATGAGATCAGTGCTACTGCGACCAGACTAGCTGCGACTAGCCCTGGATCACAATTTGGGGCTTGCTTTGAACCAATAAGTTTAAGTTGCAGGCATAAAGCCCTGTGACCATGAAACCCAGAAGCCGTCAACATCCCAAGCATCGAGGCCCTATAAGACCCCAAACAAACGTGGTTAAAGTTCCAAAAGCAGACAGAGCTCAGTATATCAAACATATCATATTCTGTCTGAATAGAATTCCTGGTTTTCAGCCTTATAAACCTCTTGCATGCCCTAGAAAGTGGCGCACAGGAGTTCATCGAGCAAAATGTTGGTGGGTACAGAGAACGTGTGACTTGGCTGCAGCATGGGGCGAGCGGGTAAGGATGGGTTGGAGTTCTGGAACTTGCTCCAAGCGGTATGGTAACACTAGGGGGGTTGCCGCAGTGGGTAATGGATCATTTGCCAGTCAAGCGCGCCCGGGTGCGCACCCTGCGGTTACTGCCGCTGTACTGCGGTGCACATTTTCGCCTCCAGCCGCCTTCTTTCCACAGTCTCGCTGTGGCACTGCCACTTCGTTGAACATTCAGAGGACTACAATACCTTGGCTTCATATTTGCTATCGAAACGCCCGAAAATGTCGAAAGTTCATCATTCGTGAGGTCTCCGAATATCATAAATTCAGTTCTGGGAGGAACGATTTGGGGAGTGGTGCTTTCCGTTTTGCCTCCAGCTTCACGATCCCCTCGCGGTGGTGGCGGTAGCGGCGGTGGTGGCGATGTTCCGATGATGCCGTGGTCTGGTGGTCTTTGTCGTAGCGGTGGTTGTGGTCGTCGCGATGCTCCTGGCATTCGTGGTGATCCTAGTCGTCGTGGTGCTCGTGGTCGTCATGATCTCTTCGGGGTGTGGTCTTTCACTGTTGGTAGATCTACGCTGGCGTAATTCGTAATTTAACATTTGCACCAGGGTTTCATAAAAGTTTAAAGCGGTCTGAAGGCTTACAACTTGCACGGTTACGGACGCGTTTCTTTACGGCAGCTCACTTTATTTAAGGTTCCGCACCATCAGGGCTTGTTTTAGATTGTTTTAGCATCCCAACCTGGAGGTTTGGAGGGAGTGAGTTGAGTAAATCAAACCGATGTTTTGGGCTTGCCTGCAGCCAGTAACTATCCCTTAAAGGTACTTAGAACTTGTTTGGTTACTGTTGTCCTCTGGAAACAGCTAAAACTGCAATTTTTGCAAGGGTGCCAAGTTCAATATCGATTCGCGAACATGGCTTGTGTGCATCACCTCAAACAGCTTTCCCTCACGTGACTTCACGACGTCTTGAATCAACCCGTCATCAGAACCTTACACGAAGTGATGCTTCCTGTATTAGTCTGTCTCTGTGTGTATGTGTGCGTGTCTCAGTCTTTGTGTTTGCGTGTACGCATGCAGGCACGCAGAGCCGATGCAGCAGAACCAGCTGCTTGCACAGGAAGAGAGGCGGCCTCCACGCCTCCAAGCGAACCCGGATCCACCACCGGCTGCTGGTCACATTACAGTGGAGGCTTCGCAGCTGGAAGCTCCCTCTTCGGCACAGCCTTCTGCATCCGCGCACATAGGGGCCAAGAGGGAGGAGCAGATGCTCGCGCAGGAGGAGAGGCGGCCTTCACGTCTCCAGGCGAATCGGGATCTGCTGGCTGCTGGCCACACTTCAGTGGCGGAGGCTTCGCATTTGGACCTTCTTCCTTCGGCACAGCCATTTGCATGCACATCCAGGCACATAGAGACCAAGAAGAAGGAGCAGACGCTCGAACAGGAGGAGAGGCGGCCTTCACGTATCCAGGCGAAACAAGATCCACCGGCTGTCAGCGTGCCAGTGGAGGAGGCTTTCCAGCTGAAATTTCCTTCGTCCGCGCAGCCTTCTGCGTCCACGCACACAGAGGCCAAGCTCGCGCAGGAGGAGAGGCGGCCTTCACGTCTCCAGGCGAATCGGGATCTGCTGGCTGCTGGCGATGCTTCAGTGGCGGAGGCTTCGCATTCGGACCTTCTTTCTTCGGCACAGCCGTTTGCATGCACATCCAGGCACATAGAGACCAAGAAGAAGGAGCAGACGCGCGAACAGGAGGAGAGGCGGCCTTCACGTATCCAGGCGAAACAAGATCCACCGGCTGTCAGCGTGCCAGTGGAGGAGGCTTTTCAGCTGGAATTTCCTTCGTCCGCGCAGCCTTCTGCGTCCACGCATACAGAGGCCAAGCTCGCGCAGGAGGAGAGGCGGCCTTCACGTCTCCAGGCGAATCGGGATCTGCTGGCTGCTGGCGACGCTTCAGTGGCGGAGGCTTCGCATTCGGACCTTCTTTCTTCGGCACAGCCGTTTGCATGCACATCCAGGCACATAGAAACCAAGAAGAAGGAGCAGATGCTCGAACAGGAAGAGAGGCGGCCCTCACGTCTCCAGGCGAAGCAGGATCCACTGGCTGTCAGCCTGCCGGAGGAGGCTTCCCAGCTGGAAATTCCTCCGTCGGCGCAGCCTTCTGCGTCCACGCACACAGAGGCCAAGCTCGCGCAGGAGGAGAGGCGGCCTTCACGTCTCCAGGCTGTTAGTGCTTCAGCAGAGGAGCTGGAAACTGCCCTTTCAGTACAACCTTATGCATCCAGGCTGCTTGCACTGAATGAAAGGCGGCCATCACACCTGCTAGCGAAGCAGGATCCATTGGCTTCTGGCAACATTCCGGTGCAAGCGGCTTCACAGCTGGAAATTCCTCCGTCGGCACAGCCGCCTGCCAGGCACGTAGCGGCCAAGAAGGAGGAGCAGATTCTCGCGGAGGAGGAGAGGCTGCCTTCAGGTCGCCATGCGAATCGGGATCCACTGGCTGCTAGCAACGCTTCGGTGGAGGCTTCGCGGTTGGACCTTCTTCAGGAGCAGATGCACGCACGGGAAGCGACGCGGCTTCCATCCTCCCAAGCCGAACAGGATCCACTGGTTGTTGGCGACATTCCTTTGGAGGTGGCTACCGAGCTGGAGACTCCACCTCGGCGACCCTCGATGCCTGCAGTGAGCCTTGGTGATGAGACGTCCTGGAAGGCCACCGGTGCTCCATGCCGACCTCCCCAAACCACTCTTCTCAACATGTCCAATGAAAATGAGATGCTGCCGGAGCCTCGCAATTCAGCCTCTACTCAAGGCCTTGCTAAAGTACTCGACGCCTTGGAGGCGCAGGAGGAGGGTTTGGCAGACACCACCGGCCTCTTCCGCGGCCGTCCCAATCACAAAAACAGTGCTCAGCATCGAGGTTGCTGTGACTTCCAGTCTGCGAAGGCCAGAAAACGGCAGACTGCAAAGCCCTCTAAGATCGACCTAGATTGTAAACCCGAAATCCCCTAACCTTGAATCCTGTACCTCCGAAACCCCTAACCCTCAACCCTGTGAACTTAACCCCGGGAGGCAGTGCGGCCTGCGTTCTTCACTGAAGCGAACTCCGTGGAACCAGCGAGCTCTCGTCAAGGCCCGAAGCCCTTTGCCGCGCGCACTGGGCCAAAGGAAGACGAGGTGGCCAGGGACGCTTGCCGTCGAGGGGCGGGGTGGTGGTGGTAGAGGAGGGTGGGGGTTTGGTAGCGAAGGAATCGTGTGGTCCTACAGACAGCTGTGGCTGTGCCTTGTGTATTGGATGACTAACTGCATTGCCGGTTGTGGGCCCGTAGTTGTTGACGTGAGATGTAGTGCCTGTGGTCCAGTTCTTGGGTGTGTGTGGACGGGACACACCAAGACATGGAGCTGTTAACAATTTTTATAAGCGTCATGGGGATCTCCGGTAACCTTCATGGATGGAAGAAGGTGAACAGATCCTGGGAACGGTAGGCTTGGGCGTTACCGGCACATATCTCGCACAAGAGAGCATATCGATATCATGCGGAACGCATTTTATTCATCCCGCTGAGTAAGGACTATTCCATAAAAGAAGAGTAGGAATCCACGACAGGGGACCTTCAAGTAAGGGATGTTTAGGCTTGCTACGACGACACATGAAGTCTCGTAAATCCCCTATACACAACCTCATGGTCTTCGGAGCCAGCCTGCGCCTAAGGAGAAAGCTGCCGAACAGAGAGCACCAGAGGCAGTGCAGCCCACGGCAGTGCAGCCCACGTTCGTCACCGAACCCGGCACATTGCACTTCACCAGCCTGGATCAGGATGGCAGAATTCCGTGCTCAGATGCTTTGCTCCCAATACCCAGCTTGTAATGTTTGTAGAGGTCCCAGGGCAGTATAAGTCCGAAACCCCTATAGATGTTGAAGACCCTTCACATTCGTGGAATTCCGAAAGTGTACACCCCTTTTATGTTCGTTCGCTTGGGTTTTGTGGAGAGCTGAGGATGGTTCATGGCAAGAGCCTGATCTTCCTGAGTTTTGTCCTACAAAAGCTCTCCCCGAGGCTCTTGGGCACTTTGTTTCATTCTTTTTGCTTTTTCGGTCCATGGTTGCTTTTTATATGACTTATATGTTCAGGTTTGTTAGCTGGTTTTGGAGTATGGTTTCGTTTGTGGGGGAGTTGGCCCTAATCCCGCTCCGTTTCTGAGGGGAGCAGAGCTTTGCCGGGATCGCAGCGCGTGAAGCCGTCACAGCCGTCGGAGCACCGACCGATCCTTGCTCGGCCTCGGCCGGACCAGGCGCTTGCAAAGCGGGGGCGACGCCCGTGGGGTTCGGGGCTGAGGGTTTAGGGTTCGAGTACCCGTAAACATGGCATCGCTAACTCTTAAAGGAAGACACGGCAGGCAGATGAACTAGAATTTGTTGGTAGATTGCTTTGTGCTGCTTTAAGCTTGTTCCGTGCGATAGAGAACCTAGCTACTACAATCGAGCTCCAGTGTTGCTGGCAGGATTGCCTTGCAAAATAGGTAAATAGGGTTTTCGCAGCATGAGAGAGCCTCTAATATGAATTCCAAATGCCAGGATCTTTACCATAAGTACCTGTAAATCTTGCAATTTATCCTAGTTTGCTAAACCTCCCAAATGTTTGTCAGATGCTGGTTTCACCTAGTTCACTGGACTGCCCTCTTGCCAACCCGAAGTATTTGCTTTGACGGATTCTGCCATTCTGCAAGCCTATTTATTTACGTTTTGAAAGGGGAGGGGGGGGGGGTTGGTAGGCTTGGAGCAGTACCCCTAAAGTCAGCAGTGTATTACAATTTCAGGCGTCTTCATGGACTGAGCCGTCCCAGTCCCTCTAGGGAAGGGCAGCCTCGAAGTCCGCAGATCTGTCTGACATAGGCGCAAGAAGAATTCCGTGGTGTCATGCCGGCCGCCCAACAGCAGCCACCGGGCTAACAATACGCTTTGTTTGAGGAACATGACATATAGTACTTCTTATTCCCCAAACAGCTTTAGCT